GAAAACACGTAAAACGTCATATCTTTGTATTTTTTTTGGTATAGTAACAGTACACTACTGTCTACTACTGTACTAGTATGTCCTCATAATTTTAGCGTTATAGTGGATATATAGTTTAATCCCTGTGCTGTTCGGGTATCTATGGAAGCACTGATGAAAAACATTAGTTCGCCACTGACCCATCTTCCATTCCACCTATTTTTTTTTACGTTCAATATTCTGATACGGGCAAAGCAAAATTGGAATAAAGGTAAAAAATGAAAAATTGGCACGAGCAACGCCGAGCACGGGACAGATAGTTTTATGTATACCTATATAATCTGACCCGAGAATGTTTTGCTATTGCTAAATAATGGTATGAACAATAATAATAGTAGTTTTCTTGTCCATGACAACCATATTATCATCTGTATCGTCAAGGTAAGTTACGAATAAACAAAAATAAATAAATAAATTTACATAAACAATTAGACATTCGTATCAAAAATACTTAAAAATCTCTATATAATTCACGGGAATGAGAATGGAACGTTACCAAAATTTGAAAATGATTGGTAAAGAATTTTCGAAAGTTGATTCTAAGCACAAATAACCAACATAAAATTTCTAATTTTACATTTTATTTCTCACATATTTGAATACAGTTTATGATAAAATTTAAATTGCGACGTATCAAAGAAGCACTATCTCTTTTTATGAGCCGTGATGCCCAGCGTATTTTACAACGCCACCTACGATAAACTCATGCAACTTACAAATAATTGCCCTTTGAACATTTAATTTGCCATAAAACGATATTAAGGTCATTAATCGAGATGAAGACTATCTTATCTTTTAATTTGGGCCAAATTACACTTATCAAAATCAGTTGAGTAGTTTAAAAGTGCAATCGCATGTAAACTCTTCGTACGCGTGATTTTTATGTATTTGTAATATAAATGTATTTTGTGTACAGATATTCGTTTATACGTAATATACGTATGTATTGGCGCACACGGGAAATTTATCAGTAAGGGGCACAATAAAATCAAACACCAAAAAGTACTTAAAATAAATTATATTTGAAATTTCGAAGTCCAGGGGGGGAGATACCCCGTCTTGCCTCCCCTTCCGGCCGTCTATGTATGTATGCATCATGTACACGGCTAAATGTGATAGAAAAATTTGTATATTTAAATATTAAATTAACATAAGATCTATATAAATTAAAATATGGCGGCACCGGTGAAACGAAACTAAAAAACAAGAAGAATACAATTTTCAAAGAGTTATTATTTCGAAATATCACGAATAATTATTATACTAATGAAATACTACATCATCGTATCATAGTATTATAATATATTTCGATTAACTTTTTACCGGCTGACGCGCCATATTTTCTCGGGCAAGAGGTTTAAAATCTCAACGGCATGGTATTTCGCCGAGTAATTTTCCTGGACGCTAGAACTTGAAATTTATTGCAAGGATTGTTTTCGGTGAAGTCGTAACTTACTATTATATATTATAATATAGGTATAAATGCGAGAATGATAATTAGCGAAATTTATTCGACTCGTGACAACTGCGATGATGACGACGGCGGGATGAACGGTTTTACGAATTTATAATACTTTTGAATTTTCGATATTGTTTTCAATTTTCCGTGGCTTTCGCGGGGCGCGAACTGTTTTGGAATACTTAAAACGATAGTTTCCTACACTCTTCGTGTATTATACCGGTGTAAGTTTTGCGAAGGGTTTCCAAAATATTATTCGACTACCCGAGGATAAAGAAATAAATAACTTTTTTAATTTTTGGCACGGGCCTCGTTGTACCAAAAAAAAAAAAAAAAAAATGTATTATAAAATGGTTAATAATATTACGTATAACGTCTAACTCAGACGCGTTAAAATTTGAAAAGAGGCGAAGGAGGATCCCCATCAGTGCAGATGTAACTAGGACCTTTATGAATACTTGTTAAAACTTAAAAATATCAAGACAAAATCATAACTAATATATATACTAATCACATAATTTTTTTAAAAGAGTAAGTAAAAAAGCGAGTAAAAAAATCGTTTTTTGATTTTCCCATGGGTCTTTAAAATAATTTTAAACAATCAAAAACAAAATTATAGGAAAAACGACAAATGTGTATTAAATTGTTTGATCAAACAAAAATGATTGAAAACTTAACAAAATTATCACTTAGTTGCATTCGGTGGTAAAAAAGAATAGAAACGAAAAAAGAACTGATAGTGGGGGCGGGTGCGGTTACTGCTGTAAGTGGGAAATTGGGAAGGTAGGATATAGAGGGGAATTTAATTTGTATCTGTAAGCAACGATTTATCATTGCTAACGAAAAACAATTCTGAAAGGATTATTAAGATTAAAATAATAAAAAATAAATAAAAACGGTTGCTATAGGGACCACCTTATTTTTAAACTAAAGAACCAGTTTTTTCTCATTATCTAGAATTTGAATGCAAATTTCAAAAAATGATCTTTCTAAAGTACCGACTAGAGCCAAAATGCAACAAAAAAGATCACTTTTGTTTTTCAAATAGGAACCCCTATTTTTAAACTCATATTCAAATAGAGTGCATTTTTCTAGAAATTTTGATACCTATATGCATATCACTAATATCAGATTTGTTGTTTATCAGTTGGGTTGATAACTAACTCATAACTTTTTAAATCTCAGACTATGTATTGTATATGATCTAAGGTTTAAAGTTTACACTAGGGTAATCATATTTAAAAAAATAAAAAAGGGACAAAATAATTTCAATAATACACTCAAAATAATATTTAATAATTATAACATTTTTTTTGTTAATCTTTCACAATTATGCCTGTATTATGAACTATTTTAAATATTCCCCGTATATTTACTATTTTCAATGTATTAACAACGGTATCGATTCTTGTGGTTGTTATTTTAGATTCTGAGTGGTGTGAAGGAGCTTATAGTTTTACAAAGATGTTTATTTTTTTTATTATCTGTGCGCAATTTTTCTACCAGAAGACTTGCTCGGATGTCTACGTGTAGCACTTTTTCCGAAAGGAAAATGGCGTGAGGAGGTTCTTAATAGAGGTAATTTTTTAATTTTCTCGAGCTTTCTCATCAAATACGAAAACCCGAAAAAAAAAACAGGAAAATTTACGAAATATAATAAATATAATTTTATAATTTATGAATTTTTTTTTTCTGTGAACAACTTTTCAAATTTTGCTCCAACTTTTAACGATTGGAATGTTTCTAAAGGAAATTTCACTAGCGTGGTGCTTTAGAGAGGTTTTTTTTCGATTTTCCTAGTAAATGTGAAAAACCGGAATAAAACATGGGGAAACCTGGAAAAACGTAGGGAAACTGGGATAATCGGTACAACATTAAACATATATTATTAAAGAAAATATATAAAGCCTATTTAATTATTTTACTATAAAATGATATATATATCACTATCAACTGAATTCCATTCACAGTTGTTTTTTCGTAAGCAATGGTTTATTGTTGCTTACAGGTATACATTAAATTATCTGTAACAGTGGCTGCACCCGTCCCCATTATCCTAGGACGTTTTTTTTTTTATGAGTTCAATCACAATCACTGTTATAATCTATAAAGAATATTTGTGTCAACAAATTTATTTTATTCAAAAATAAACTAAAATTTTAATCTGCGTGTTGAAACTATAAAATATTTATATCTAATTAAATAAAATAAAAATTAATACGGAATATTTAATTAGGATCGACATAAAAAACAGGATAAAAAGCGTCCTGAAAAAAGTTCGTCAGGACAACAGGACACACAGCTGAAAAAAAAGGACAATCCCGCATAAAACCGGACGTATGGTCACCCTAGTTTAGACTGGAAGAGTATGGAAGGGTGATAAATTGCATATCTATTTTTTAAATATTATTAAAGGTACATGGAATAGAGGAAAAAAATTAAAAATTGTTTTATTATAAAGCTTAACCGATTCCATAATGATTAAAAAAAACCGAAATCAAATTCACTAAAAATCCCCCCCCCCCGGTTCATAATGAAAACATCACGCTGAATTCCCTTTAAACATATTTATAATATAGAAATTCGTTGGTACAAACCGGTGTACCACGTTGATTCTGATTTATCATGCCGGTATGCCAAAACGGATCGGTTCAGTACAGATCGGTACGTAGAAAGAAAATCGGTTAAGTTGTTGATGCCGATGCGGATATTATGGTTCCGGTTTTACAAGAAATTCGTCGACTTGTAGTTGGTACAGAATATCATTGTCCCCTCTATGGTCCATAGTCGTTTGTTATCACACAGTGCACTTTTCTATGTTTTCAGTTTTCACCGAATAGTTCAAACATTACTGAATTTTTTTCTGAATGATTATTCTAGTAACACTAGAATGCTGAATGATAAGGTTTAACAACACTACAATTTGGATTACCACTATAATCCGCGTGACCGCTGAAATGTAAATAAAGTAGGTACCTATGTGATGGATTTTATATTGATTATTTATTTATTAAATTAATAAAAAAAAAAAAAAAAAAATGTGAACTTAACAAACATAGAAAAAAGATAATAACAAGCAAAACCCGACAGAGTCGGTCGGTTAGTGGTGGTGGTGGTGCGGAGCTGCCACAGAAAAAATGATAAGGTTGGACAAATTTCAGAAGAAATTGGACAAAAAGATAATAGAAAACGCATCGGTATACCGAACCATACCGACAGTATGGTCCGAAATAATAGGATCAGTGTCAATTTTTTGCACGCCGTTATGTCCGAACAAATTTCTCCGAATCACATTGATTTATTTTAAATACAACGGTTTGTACAAACGAATTTCTAAAATATGTCTGTGGATAATGTTATGGATCGGCAACGAACGACGAAACGGCAGGTGGACGGCAAAGGAGCAGTCGAGTTTTGAAAAGAATACCCGAGTGGGGAGAATACAAAAACCGCAACGATTTCAGCGGTACTTTCCTGAACTATACATTGCGTGAATGCTTAATGCGTGTTGTGTGCGTGTTTTGGTGTGATACTGTTTATCAATGTTTTGATTAATAGAACTCATAAACCATGATAATATCGTGGTGTTAGAAATTTAAAATTTAGAATTCATTCTCTACGTTCCCTCTTCGTGTAAATTCCGTTTCAAAACTCGAATTGTTTCCGTTGCTACATTTCTAGTCACTATCTTAGTTCTTTTATTTTTTAATTTGTTTATTATCTTTGTCTGGGACTCTTATAGTTCGTATGTACTTATCATTAATCTCTTAAATTAATTCGAGTTTAAATGAAATAACACACAAGGTCAATAACCAGTAAGTTATTTTACGACTGGGCGTACTACAAAGTACTTATATATTTTTGTTTTATAATAATTGTCATCCACAGATAAGTTTGCGTATCGATGATGGAAGAAAAGGGGACTCCTAAAAGCATAACACTTCCAGAAACATTGGAAGTTTTTCGAAATTTGAAAAATGCCAAACAATTTGCTATAGACATAGGTGAGTTATATAATATATTGTTAATAAGTATTGTTTAAATCTATTTTTAATTTCCACTAATATTGTACGCATATAGTAGAAAAAAAAATATCTATAAATTGATATTTTAATCATCTATTCAGTATAATTTCTTGTATAATAGAAGTATAAATAATTATTTTAAATTAATCCCCGTGCAAACCATTTTAATGGGCTCAATAATTTTCGAATCACTGTTGATTATATTCTGTAATTTTTGTGAATAAGTTAATAGGTGCTTTATCACTATTAACTTTTGTGTCATTAAAACATAACCAAAGATGTATTGCTTTTTATATATCTTCAGTTCTAGGGAAGAAGAGCTTAGTGACTTTTGTATAGTTTTCAATACAAATAGATTAAATCATTTTACACTAATACATTATATACACTAATTTTCAAAGTATATACATTTATACACTTTGACCAAAAAATAAAATAAAACAAATTACACAAGGTAAAATAATTAAAAAAAAAAATTCATAAATCTTCCCAGAGTTTAAAGAAATGTAGATGTAATTTTTACTATATGAATATGATTGATTATTATATTGACAATTTCATAATTTAGATTTTGATTTTATTGTCTCTATCTTGTAAACAATATGATGAAATTTGTTTTCCCATTTCCAAGAATATTACAATGTGAATATAAACAAAAGTTGATAAAGAGAAGTTTTATAAAGAAACAAATGAAATACATTATTTTTTTTTTTGTTCTACTTTTTATTTCTAATATAGTGTGTCCCACCGTGTTCAACTTATTTTTCATGGGCTGTTAATATAACATTTTTTTTTTCAATCAGTTTGTCTTCAAGGGAACATCAATTTGGAGATGAATTCAATTTTTATTTTCATCCTCTAAAAACAAAAAAACAATAACTTTATTTATTCACTTTAAAAATTTTCAAAACAGCCATTTTGTAAAAAATATTCATAAAATTGTATTGTATCACACATTCATATCTAATGAATAATTTCTCAGTTATAGCCCTAACCAATAATCGGGTATGAATGTATGTTACATTAATTTTTTTAGAATAATACTTTTTACAAAATGTCTATTTTCTAAAATAAATAAATAGTTGTTTTTTTTTGTGTGTGTGTTTAGGTGCAGAAAATAACTTACAATGTTATTAGTATTAATGTAAATATTAAAATATATTGTTATAGGTGGTTCGCTGACAAAGATAGCATACTATTCAACAGTATCATTTAGACGTGTTTATTATGCTGCCGATAATGTTGATAAAAACAATGATGAAGACAAGGATGAAGTACGATATATTTATATATTATAAAATTTTAGAATTATTAATTCATAGCCAAAAAGTATAATAAAATAGTTTAGGTAATTACTAGTTTTAGCTTAACTCATCTTCAGATTACATAAATATAAAATAAAAAAACTTTCTAAATACAAATAAAATGTAAAAAACCCAATTTAAACGTGATACAATAACATGGATTTTTAAAAAATATTTTAATTATATTTAGAAAAATGTTTTTATTTTATATTTGAGGTAACTTGAAGATGACTTAGACCGAAATTAGTAGTCACCTTTATTATTATACTTTTTGGTTTTTAATTGATAATTGAGGGGTTGGGTGCAAGGTCATTTTTTAGAAAAATGTGTTTTGACTAAAATGAGTTACAGTTCCAAATCTGTGTCACTTATTTGGTATTGCTCACATAGTTATAAAATATGTACTAGATGATAGATCGAATTAACAAAATAAAAAAAAATTGTCATTTTTCTTTGTGTCCACAAAACTGTAAATAAATGAGACATACGGTCATGAAAATGTCCTTCTTGCATCAAACAATAATAAAATAATAAAGTAAAAATAAAATTATTAAAATGGTTAACACTCGTAAATAAATATATAAATACAAAATGTATGTATAAAAAATTAATAAATTAATGAATGAGTCACTTGGAGTATTATGATAAATGTATTTTAATACACCAAGGGACTCATTCATTCATTTTTTTTTTATTTTTATTTGTATATTTATTTACTATACATATCAAATAATAATTACCTATTTTATATAAATCAAATAATTAAAGAACTAGAATTTTATAATTTCTATATTTGAATTTATATTCATAGTGTCAAAAATTATTTGAAAAAAATAACAGTCATGAAATGAAACATACAGCAATGAAAACACAATACAGTAATAAAATAGAAACTTGTATTATCAAATTAATCTATGACGAAAAATAACAAGTTATCAATTATAGTCATTGAAATATACCTAAAACAATATTATTAATAAATATAACAAATATAATGTATGGTTCCTATGCAAAGGCATTTATACACAATTACATAAATGCTTCTCTTGTGTTCTATTTATACATTTTTTTTATAAAATTTGTATTACATATAATTAATGTACAGGTTGCTGAATCCAAAAAAGTGTTATAAACAAATAGTGTATTTTTAGGGAAATGCTTATATTGCACTCAATTATAAAATTGTATAATATAAATCAAGCATACAATTTACCATTGTGGTAGATTTAGTATAAATAATGAATATGTTGCAGAATTTTGTTAATTATATTAAATATTCACTTGAATATATACTCTAGAAACAAGATAAATTTGTTTATACATATTCTGAACAAGCAAGATTACATTTTGTGAAGTTTGAAACCAAATACATTGAAAACTGTTTGGACTTCATTGGTGAAAATTTAGTTAGTAGTGATGAACGTAAAGGAAAAAGTATCAAAGCTACAGGGGGCGGTGCATACAAGTATAGCAAACTTATTCAAGAAAAATTAGGCTTAGAGTAAGTTGTGAAATACTTGTATAATGCATATTTATTTATACTAATCTTATTATGATTTCAGAGTAGACAAAGAAGATGAATTGGATTGTCTTATTATAGGATGTAATTTTTTGTTAAAAAATATAAGTGATGAAGCGTTCGTTTATAATCGCAATGGTAGTCCAGAATATGAATTTCAAACGGCAGACCCGCATGTATTTCCGTATATGTTAGTAAACATTGGTTCTGGTGTAAGTATTTTAAAAGTAGAATCAGACAGTTCTTATGAGCGTATCGGTGGTACTGCTACCGGAGGTGGTACATTTTGGGGCCTAGGTACACTTTTGACTAAAGCTAAGTCATTTGAAGACTTACTTGATCTTGCTGAAAAGGGAGATCATAGAAAGGCTGATATGTTGGTGAAAGATATTTATGGTGGAGATTATAAGAATCTTGGTATGCATTCGGATTTAATTGCTTCTTCTTTTGGGAAAGTATGTCCTCGCCAAAATGCAGGTAAAATGTAAATATGAAATATTACGTTTTTATTTTTTATTAAATACTCTGTTTTTTTTCAGAAAGTGATTATAATGAAGCAGACTTGGCAAGAAGTTTACTGTTTGCAATCAGCAATGATATTGGTCAAATTGCCTGTTTATATGCAATGATGCATAGTTTAAAAAAGGTATATTCTAAATTGTATTTCATAATTTATTTATTTGTGATAATATTAAATCAAATTTAAAAAAAGGCATAGCCACTGCTCTAAGGTAGTAGGCCACTAGTAGAAAGTTGGAGAAGGTAAGATTAACTACAAGAAATTACCCCTGAAGTTTATGACCGGAGTACATTTTGTGGTCAACATTTTTAACAGACAATTAATAAAAAATATAAATAAATTTAAAAAAAGGACAGTCATCCTATTATTACTTATTTTAATAGTTAGAAAATAAACTTTGATTCAAATGATTTCTGGAACTACTCATTCAATAACATTGTCATGCAATTTTTTTTTTTTTCATTACAACGTAAATTCATAAATAATACAGTTTAAGTTATTAATTTTTAAATAATCAGCAAATATGCTGAAGTTATGCTGCTATTTAAATACTCCTAAAAAATACCTGTATGTTTTATAAATATGTTGGTGCAGTGTCATGCATCAGTTACATTTCTGGTTTTGGATCCTGAACATGTTTATTATTTTTTTTTCCATAATTTCAAATCTACTTTTACTTTTTTACATACCTACTGATTATTATTTATAATTTAATTTGTATTATTCACTTTTTATCTAAAGGATGGCTTATGTAAAAATCTTTTCTTAACATATTCAATTTTTAACTTTGCAAGTAAATAGGATATTATTGAAGGACAGACGAATGAAAGAAGGAGGAAAAAGAAGTTTTTGAGTGGGTGGCAGGGAGGGGTAAGAATAGTGGTAGAAGTTACTTATGCACAGCCTAGATGGTACACGAGTTAACTGTGATAGAGGGCATACAACTATAGTAAAATATAATTAAAACATTAGAAGCAACTTTTATTGCATGAGCAAAGATAGACAGGACAGTTTTTTTGATTATAAATTTCTTCTTCGGTTTTATAGTTTGTACATAGGTTAGATTTTTATATTTATCAAAAATGTGTTATGTATGTACTGTCTATTATAATGAATACTAATTATTTTTAAAATTTATATAATATAGTCAGCAGGCCTATAGTAAAATGAATAGATCGGGCCACTGAGAACCTCATGTTATTCTGTTAAGTCAGGCTGTCCCTGATATAATTTATCTTAATATCTGTTATCTAATTTGGTGTAAATACACCAGATACTTCTAGGATATTTGATTAATAATTATTTATAATAATTACTTTATTATGTTTACTAGGTCTATTTTGGTGGTTACTTTTTGAGAAATCGTTCTCTCAGTATGCACACAATATCATTTTCTATAAAATTTTGGTCTCGAGGTACTGTACACAGTTTGTTTCTAAGACATGAAGGATATTTAGGAGCAATTGGAGCATTTTTAAAAGGCACTGAGGATTGTGGTAATACTATTTTATAAATTAATGTTTTATAGATAGTTTGTTACTTATATATTATATTATCTTTAATATTTGTAGACAGTGACAAGTTTTCGTGGTTAGAGAATTATGCTGGTAGTGGAAGTAACCGTACTCAATTGACGTTTGGTAAACGAGTGGATCAGCTTGAACTTGATCGTTGGGAATCGCCTTTAACATTTTGTCCATTGCTTAAGGATCCATCTACTTACATCCCAGACACAGTTGACTTGAATTCTGACAAAGAAGCTAGGTAAATTTTATATATTTTAAATATATTTATCAAAGTAAATATAAAACTTAGTTTTATATAAAATTTAAATTTTGAGAATTAAAAATACCAATGTATTTCATTCAACATTATGATTTTTAGGGAATATTGGTTGAATTGTTTTGAAGAAAGTATTGAAAATTATGTAAAATATGCTATAGCAAGTCAACCGAATAGTACTACAGCTGAAAAACGAGCTTCTATGTTTAAAGAAAAATTTATTTCTCGAGTGAAGTTGCTTAAAATTAAACCATTGTAAGATTTAGTTATTTATTTTATTATTATTTTTTTTTTTGTGTAAAACTAAATTTATTAATTTGTTTTACTCTATTTAGTGCCTATGGAAATTTGACTGTTAGAGGTCTTCTGGATACTATTAATCAATGTTTAAAAGAATTTGATTTTCCTGATCCATATTTAACTGTAAGATTTTTAAAATAGGTATTTAAACAAATGTATTTATATACTATTGTGTATTTATGTGTGAGTAATTCATAAAATAAATTTTAGCAAAAACGAACAGAAAATGAATATGCATTGACATGTCTTCAAACACGGTTAGAAGAACTGGATTCTTTAGATTTTGAAGAAAGGCAAAGAGAACTAGTCATGGGAGTTATGGCTGGAAATACATTTGACTGGGGTGCCAAAGAAACTGTAACCCTAATGAAATCTGGTAAATTTAATTTTCAACAAGCAAGGGCCCAAATTCCTGGTAAGTATTAATAATCAATAATTAAAAGTGTAATTCAATTAATGTAATAAACATTATTTTCTTTGTTATTTATGCAGCCCGACCTTGGTTGATTGACTGTCTGGACCAATGGGTACTGAAAATATGCAATAGGCTGTACAAAAGAGTTGCTATTTTCATTGATAATAGTGGTTTTGATATAGTTTTGGGTATATTACCACTAGCCAGAGAAATGCTTCGGCAAGGTTCTAGATTATTATTGTGTGCTAATTCTGCACCAGCACTCAACGATGTCACACATACCGAACTTGTCGTACTATTACGTCAGGCTGCTGCTATTTGTCCTATTATTGCTAAAGGGTTGGATGATGGTACATTGCAATCAATGGAGACTGCACAAGGTGGACCGTGTCTAGATCTTAGGTGAGAAATTAATTTTTAAAATACCTAATAATATAAAAATGATCCCAAAATGTTTTACTGTACTCAACAAAGACATAATGTACAATAACAGATGTTATGAATTTTCCCCGTGAATTAAAAATCAATACTATTGTGAAAAAATCTATTGTTTCTAAATTTAACATATAGGATAATCAATTACAGAATTATTAAGTGTACATTATTTTATCTAATCTGGTAGAGTATATTTCTAATAATTTACTAGTATTTAATGCCTAATAAAATATTAAATAACTGATAAATTAAAAATTATATATTATAAAAAGATATGGACATACTTTGCATAATGAGTGGGCCTCTGTTGTAGGTGAGAAGTTGGGAAGGCAGGATAAAGAGAAGAATTTAATGTATATTTGCACACAATAATTAATCTTTGTTAATGAAAAATGATTCTGAGTGGAGTTCGGTTATACATGTTTTGAAAGTCAGTAATATTTATGATTTGAAAATAATACATTTTGTAAATTTTACCGGCTTTTCCAATTTATTAGGAAAATCAAAATATGAGTACTACTCTATTTAAATTTCCTTTTAGAAAAAGTGCTACACAAAATCGGAGCAAAATTTCTGGTTGAAAAGTTGTACACAGAAAAAAAAAACATATCATTGTAAAATTAATACATTTCTAGCTACATTCAGATTTTAAAAGTTCTTTTGATAAATAAAGTTAAATGTTTAACAATTGGCTGTAGTGTTAAGTTAAAATCAAATTAACTTGGTCACTAATACAATAATATAACATTGTATTTTTTTTAAAATATTAATAGTTTGTGATTTATTATATTAGCCGGTTGGGACGAGAACTGGCCAATGAGCTGCTCACCGTAGATCTGATTGTATTGGAAGGAATGGGGCGAGCTGTGCACACCAATATAGATGCAGAATTTGTGTGTGATTGTTTCAAGTTAGCTATAATAAAAAATCGTTGGCTTGCCAAACGATTGGGTGGAGACATGTTTTCCGTAGTTTGCAAATTTGAGTGTTGTGAACAATGATAATTAAAAAAAAAAAACAAAACAAAAAAAAAAGTAATATATGCATGTTTTATTTTATTAAGTATTAAAAATTGAACAGTGAATTATAATCACACACAATTATGTGTGTGATATCACTTTTTAACATTTGAGTTCTGTGGGAACTGGATAGTGAGACATAAGTGCACACTTAGCTGCTCTAAGTCCAATCGCAACACATTCGTCTTGTGATTTTCCCTGCAGGACTCCAGATATGTAACCTGCACACAGACTATAACACAAAAAATTTGGTTAAGGATATAATATTATTGTTATTTTACCATTAATGTATGTTATATTTTAATATAATTGTGTATTTTTGTTGTTTTTTTTTTTTTGAAGCAGTAAGCAAATAAGTTTTTATATTTTTTATTGTTATTCTTTTAAAATGTTTGAATTTATTTTTGTTCTGGGTTTTGTAATTATTTTTATACCTTATACGTGAACAATCAAAATGTATTAAATAAATATTTAATATTTTACGTTTGAATATTACTTGTCTATTGATGGCAATAAAATTAATTTTTATGGAAATTTCTCAATTTAATGGCTATGAGTCTATAACTATCTAGTAAATAACAGTATAATGTTTAACTTGTATCTGGTATCTATACATGTATCTGTATTGCAATAAAAACTATTATCAGTTTTAATGAAGTTATAGTCAACTAGAATAAGATAGATACAGAAAATACAAATGTAACAATGAATGTATAAACTGATATGCAAATCAAATAGCTCGGTGATAAAGCAATCACTTGGCAAGTGAGGTTTGGATTCAATTCCTGATCCGGCTGCCTAGTTTTTAGTACTATTTTCCAGACAAAAACGGTCGTGTCAAGTGTATTCCGAAATTAAACGTTATTATATTAATAATAATGTATTATTACTACATTATTATTAAGATTGTGTTAGTTCATGTAATATATATAAACATGTATGATATACTATTTATAATATAATGGTGAACCTTATTCTAAATACTTGCAATTAAATAAAATATATAGGTACACATAAAAATCAAGATTTTCAAATAATTTCAGTGAGAAAAAAAGCTGATACTGGGAATGGGAGTGGCTATTGTTGTAGGTGAGAAGTTGGGAAGGTAGGATACATAAGGTAATTTAATTTATATCTGTGAGCAACGATAAACCATTGCTTGACGAAAGACGATTCCGAGCGTAGTTCAATAATACATAATTTGAAGTGTCAATTAAAAAAAAATTCCATTGATTTTGGAAATTTCACCATGTGTAGGTACCATAGGTAGGTCTAATATAAGTATTAATACCAAGTTTCAAGTTTCTACGTGTATTTATAAATTAATTAAGCAAAAAATTAAAATTTCTTCAAAGCTCAAAAGTTTTGGTGATGATATCATAAGAAACAAAATCAAAAAATGTATCTTGTAATTTTTCGATTGAATTATTCTTTTTGGTAGAAAACGTCTGCGTTTTTATAAAATAATGAAATCGTGAAATTTTACGTTTTCCTACGTTTTTTCCCCACATAAGCGCTTTTATTTAGAAAATAGCACGGAAAACCAAAAAATTACCTATCTTAAGTACCATTTAGACAATTTGAGCTTTCAGAAAAGTTGCTATACGTAAAAATCGGATCAAGTTTATTAAGAAAAAACGTATCCACAGGCTAGAACAAAGAATAAAAAAAAGAAATAAATATCTTAGTAAAACCAATAGCTCCTTTGCTATTCTCGGAATCTAAAAATGTAAACATCACAAACCTGATCGGCGAATATATTGCCCAAGAAAATCTGCGGGACTGATAAAATCGCATTGTAAAAATATTATTACATTATTACTTATAGGTACCTACTTACAATATATGCTTTGCGCTGATATATGACAGTCAAAAACCAAGTGAGAATATTATATTTCATTTTGGTGATACTTCATATATTGAATTGAACAAAAAATGAACACCGTATAATATCGTATGATCTATACAGTGTAGTGGAATAATTTAAAATGGCCGAGTTTCGTGAACGGATTTGACTTTTTTGATTCGGAACAGAATGACGAATTAGATATCGAATTTATCTAACCTCCCGGTATGATATTTTGTTGTGGTTTTTTCTGTCTGTGACAGTTTTCAATAGGAAAACTTGCTTCAATTTACTAAAATTGTCATTATATCGAACACCTGAACACGTTTGTGTTACAATTTCTAAAATATTTCGGCACTAATTGAATTATTTATAACCATTTTAAAACCTACTGCAATGGTTTTAATATATCAAAAAAATATTTCACAGAGTTCCACTCATAAAAATCGTATTTTGCCTTTTTCTTCATTAATTTTTCTGATATATTTTCTCGGGTTTGCGTAGGTAGGTACCTACCTATATTATGCGCACTAGACGGTTTCGTGGGATTGTCGGGCTTCCAGGGAAATTTTCTTCGGACTTAAAATTTGTTTTCTATTGACCTATATATTATTTATGCTTCACGGTCTGTGTACCGCGTATTATTATAGGTAGGAATAATATGTTTGAAATTTAATTCGATCTTGTGATTTATTACAGAGAAAAAATATCGTGTGTAGTGTACCTATAGACTTTAGAATAGGTATTAGGTTGCTTTTTGAGCTACGTAACTAGAATATTATATACCTACCTAGGTACCTAATATTATATTGATTTATCGACCGGACATTGCGGTTATATTGCACTGCGACTTCCGACCGGATTCGGTGGAATTATCCGCACTTTTAATACTTCCTTCTAAGTGATACTGCCTAACGGGCATGTGTCCCCCCTCCCCTCATTGGCTGCATTTTTAAAACGTGTTTTTATCACAATCATTCCGTGTATAATGTTACTTTACTGTATTCATGGTGTACCTATGTGTTGTAGGTATTTATAGGTACCTAGTGTATGTTTTTTTTGTTTTTTAATATTTTATTTCAGAAATCTTTTTCCAATCGAAAAACGGCCAAAGATTTTTGTGTTGAAAATTTTATCAATTTGGTCATTTTTTGATTTTTTATGTAGTTATACCTATCTTGGTAATCGTGGGAAAATAATTATTGAAAAACGGGAAAATGTACGCAATAAGGATTTCTGTTTTTTTCCCAAATTCTATTATTTTGTTGTACCTAATTCAATTGAAAATAATCGTAGGTAGGTACCTATAATTTTTACTGAATACTTATAATAGCTTTTTCTAGACATGATGACCGAATTCTGAATTTCACTCAGAATCGTTTTTCGTTAGGAATAATTTATTATTATTGAGTGCAGATATTAATTTATTAAAATAGGTACCTTTTAACATCGTTTCTCAACCTTTTTTAGTATCACGGCTCCCAAAATAAATGACAAATAAGATCGGTCACCTCACGATTCCCTTATTATAAAAACAAATTTAAGCTGTTTAATATCTGTATTATCTAGTCTAGTAACAGAGACATTGAAAACATTGATTCCATTCGCTATTTCTTATCCATGCAAAAAACTACAGAATTATGGTGGCATTAAAAATTAAATACAAAAATCGTTTGTTATCACTAAAAAATAATGTACTTTTTATATATTTTCAATGTCGAATCACGAATAAACAAACTTTTGAATATAAAACAATTGCAATTATCGCATCAATTTATACTTTATAACAATAAACAATAGATTTATGCTTTTTGATTTTAGATTTTGAGTGGAGCGAGGAATGGTATTGGTTTTATAATGATGTTTATTTTTTTTATCTGTGAATAACTTTTCTGCCAGAAATTTTGCTCCGATTTTCAAGTGTAGCATTTTTTCTAGAAGAAAATTTGACTGAAGTGGTAATTTGATATGATTTTCCTAGGGGTTTTCATAATAAATTGGAAAAACCGGGATACTTTATGAAATGTATATTCTTTTCAAATCGTAAATATTACGCCCTATTAAAACATGTACAACCGAACTCCGCTCATAATCGTTTTTCATTAATCTTTGTGTATGGATTTACATTAAATTTGCTCTCTACCTTCCCAACTTCTTACCTAAAACAGTAATTCACCAATTGTGCGAAGTATATCCGTTTGTTTTTCTCATTATTATGTATTATATTTTCATTTTAAATGTACCTAAATAAATGGTTGTTTTTCTACATCAGCGTTTAACTATTGACCGATGCAACCCCTCACCTATGGGTTCGCGACTCCAGGTTGAGAAACGTTGTCCTAAATTATATTTTATTTTCCTAACTTCCTACTTAAAATAGCGGCTTATCCGTGATCAGTGTATCCTGAACGAGGAGCATAGCGTACGGTGTACATAAAAAGCACCCTTAATGTTCTAATGTTCTAGCGAGAAAAGTATAGTCAATTTGATCAAATAGAAATTCGGAGAGAAAACAAATGTACACCAAAAGTACTCGCTCAATATGGCTCAATCATATTATAATCAATAACTGAAGTGTTGGAATCACAGACAGCAAGACTCCCAGAGTATTGAATAATATACTACAAGAATAGGACGGATAAAAGCACATTACAGAGATTTGAGTGGTGCAAGAAACGAAATTCTTGGAAGACACGGTTTATGAAACCACGAGTAGGTAACTTAATGGATTTGCAGCAAGCCACTTCAAAGTGCAACAATAAAGGACATATTGCCGACGAGTGTGAATCCAAGGTCACGGACGGAGTTTCCAGCGGATTATAATACATACGTATATATATATATATGTAACTGCAAGTATACTAGTATACGAGTTGAAATTATATAAAGTTTCATGAACAAAGGTTTTTTTTTCTTTTATTTCGAATTTTGACCTATATAGGGACACAGAAAATCGAATTAAATAATATTGTTTGTATATAGTTTCGAACAAAACTTGGATGTAGGTAGGTACCTATTGTGTTTGCAAATTAGACCAGAACTGGGGTTTGGATTCTCCCCGAAATTTTTTTATACCGATGTTAGACAAATGAAATATGAAAAAGTTGGATGTACTTTGCACCATGTGTAGGCCACTATTGTATAGGTGGGTACCCCATGGTGATTTAACTATATGGTTACTGAAATCAACGATAAATCATTGAAATAAAAAATACCAGTGATTAGAATAGAAGGTTGCTTTTTAAAAAGAAATTTGTTCATATTCACGATAATTTTGTTAAAATAACATAAATTCTCGGTTCTATCTAGGATTGAAGAAAGAAACTAGTTCCTATCCTAGTTCCTAATAAAGGAACATTTTTTATTCGTTAATCAAAAACAAAAATCATTAATTTGCATAAATAGGTACATATATATTTTGTTATTATGTTTTAATTGAAATATTATCGAATATCGATTCCATAAACACCTAACCTACAGATGTCCTTCACGGCTGAATCCGAATTGTATGTCACATATTACAAGGGTCTATCTGAATTGCACACCGTGTATAATTTTTCTTATCACAACACAATTTTGTATTTTAGACATTTAATTTTTCAAAAAACAAAAAAAAATCTATCAAAATCGTTTAAAACTATTTTAGGTATTTTAGGTATTTTACTTTAGGTAGGTATTTTAAAAAAAT